CTGGAGTCAGGTATGAAGGTGACTTATAAGGATTACTATAAATACCAAGCAGCTGAGACAGACTCGTTGATGCTGGGAAATACATATGATCATTCTTCTAACTTTCTGAAACAGACAATCTGACATCACACCCAGGTCATGCTGTGATTGGTCAGCTGCGTAGAGGTAAGGAAGTAGGTTCGAAGGTTTCATGAGGTCACCACTGAACATCTCCAGGAGAGACTGAACATGTGAGATGTCGAGACAACAACACAGAGACTCAGACACTGGAGAGAGAGGCAGGGTGATGTCAGACGACCTGGTTTATGTGAAGCAGACTGAGACCTTGAGGCTCCTCATCAGGATCAGGTCTGATTGTGTTACCTGAGCTCTGTCTGTCTGTGTGAGACTCACCTGGTGTGGGCTGTCAGGGTCAGGACGGTGTTCAAGGGGTCTCTGATCCAGGCTGCCACTCCCAGCACACATGCTGACATCAGCTGGACACAAACATATAAACACACATGGATCAGTTTCTGCTGCCTACAAATAACATCTCAGTATGTGAAACATGTTCTCACAGACAGACGTGGCCTACTTTCACTGAAACTTTAACTTTCTCTACAAACTCTAACTTTCACTGAAACTTTAGTATTCACTGAAAACTCTAACTTTCAAGCCAAACTTTTACAAGTGGAAAGGGTTACTGAGTACATTTACTCAACTACTGCATTTAAGTTATGGTGCTACAACATAATTCCATAAGGTGGCTCATGTATTTAAAATACATATTAGAATTATGTAATCTGTATTTCATAGGGTCGATGAAAATAGTTTCAAATTTTGCGTCAAAATACTAATGTTTTATATTTTTTAGTTTAAAAAACTGTAAAATACTTTGTGAGGGGCCTACATAATGGCATCATGAAAAGTGCTGCCTCTGATTGTGGCTTCCTCAGTAATTTGCCCAGACGTGTAGAGAAAGACAGTACAGAAAACTGATTCGGACCTGAAGAAGAAGGTCGAGGTGAGAAATGTGCAGGTTTCTAGCTTTCCAGACAGTTTGGAGTCCGTTTAGCAGCTGAGGTTAAATCCTTCACCAGTTTATGTTCCAGCTAACTATCTGACCCGAGCAGTAGCCCTCACAGTTAGCTGCTACTTTCAGCCTGTGTTGAGTTTTCATCAGCTGCGCAGAGCTGAGCAAACTGTTAAACATGAAGCTGTTATTTTAAAAGAAACCTTCACCTGGGTGATCCCATGTGAGGATCCGAGCTGTCTGAAGTATCGGCAGGTGATGGACTTAAAATGGGGGTCTTTGGTTTCTTATTTGAAAATACATGTTAATATATTTTGTTAATATTTCTAAACATTAATGTGAAATTATAACATGAAATGTGTGAGGTTGTGATCTTAACTACCATGTCAATTATCACATGTTAAGTTATTTGGCATGTGAGACGTTGCATGTTAAAGCACATGTGGATAAAAGTGAAATGTGTAAATTCACATTTGATAAATATCTGATCTTCACATGCAATAAAATCACAGGTGTTTATTGGTGAAATTCACACATGTGAAATGCGTGAAAGCCACATTTTTACATATGAAAAGGTTTCCACATGTCAAACAGGCATGTGGAAAGATGTGAAGTTCTAACCTGATTGTTTTAGTTTTGCACGTTATTAAGTCACATGCTGTTTTCGTATTATGCTCTCTTTTGCTGTCATGATCGATTAGTGATTAATAAAGCTATCAGAATCAGCTCCAGCCCCTGACAGAGTGAGACAAAGTTCTCACCCAGAACAGCAGGTTGAGCGCGAACAGCAGACAGCGCAGACACCTCACCGCGTCCTCCCGAGCCATCCCGACCGGAACTCCGGGGTCCAGCTCATCTGAGCCCGGGGCACCATGGCAACATTTTCACTGCCAACACACAACACAGAGCCCGGAGAGATGTGTGCGGAGATAATCACTCATTAGAGAGGAGCCCCTTCTCGGAATCTGCGGCTGCTCCGTGCGTAAAAACCGCATTCCGCTCTCTGCGCGTCTCCCACTCGGCTCCGTCCGGTGTCTTGTTTTAGCAGCTCGTGTTTATCCGTGAGAGGCTCCAGGAAACTTTCACAACAGGTGGTTTCTTACTTTCCCTCAGCCCCGCCGGGGTGATGGAGGGTTCGGTGCTGACACTAGCGCACCGCGCGGATCAGTTAAAAAACACTTCACGCGGATCCACGCGATTGCATTGCTTTTCTTCTGTGACCCAAAAACTTCAAACCGAAACTCCAAAGCTTAAAAACACTAGCCTACTCAAAATAGACTTTAGACTACACTTAACAAAGATCCACCAGTCTGCGTTAAATCCTCTCTACAATCAGACTGTGACGCGTAAACTTTCCTTCAGCAGCCTCAAAACTCCAAACTGTCGAGCTGGAGTCCGGAGGGTTGGCTGCGGTTGTAGCCGGAGCCTGCAGCAGTTTGGAGGGGCGGTGCGCTGTCCCGTCCCGTCCTGCCGCTTCTTCTTCTTCCTCACTAATTAACTGCGTGCAGCAGCCTCCCTCCCTCCCCCGGCAGTCAGTGAGTCCTGGGGGAGGACAGAGGAATGTGTCCGCCTCCAGCCGCAGAGCCGCGGGGTCAGCGGGCCAACAGGCTGAGAGTGTTGTTGTGTTGAAGAGGATGAAGCTGCAGGGACACATGGAGGCCTCTGCCGGCAGGACAGCAGCATGCAGAGGGAAACATGGCGCTTAATAACGTGCATATATCAATTTATGGCCAAAAGTATGTGGACACAATCTGCCAGATAGATAAAGGATGCGTAAACAGCAGAACAGCGGCAGGGTTTTCACATCAGAGCTTTCAGAGTCACAACAAAAGTCTCAGATAGAGCCTAGTTAATATAAAAATAAGAAACTTTATTTAACAAAGTGCTCTTAAAAGCTGTTCAGCAGAAATACAAGAACAACAGAAAACTCTCTGTAAATGTGCACACAAAAATAAAACAGCCTGAGGATGCTGATTCCTCAGTTTGGAATTTAATAATTCTAGTTGTGAAATGTTCCCATGTTGGCTGAAGAGCAGGAGGCCCCTGTGCCAGTTATCATTCAGGGAGAGGGAGTGAGGAGGGTGGACATACAGGTTCAAGAAAAACTGGACTGGTATCACAACTCTGACACCCTGTTCAGGAAGAGCAGGAGGCTCAGATCCTTCAGTGTGTACAACAGGCTCCTGCAGACCTGTCTAGGCCTATGTGAGCCCTGGGGTGCCGGCACCGGGGCCGCTGAGGCCTGCGGACTCAACCAGCTGGTAAAGAAGACCGGCTCTGTACTCAGGCTGGAACTGGACAGACAGGAGGGTGAAGTTCAGGATCAAACCCATCCTGGATGACTCTCACCCCACCAGGTGCCATCAGACTGTCCAGCAATGAGACCACAGCCTCTACAGGCCCGAGCTTTATTTACATCTCCTATTTCTTTTCACTTTCTCTATTTTCTGCCCTTGTGTTGCTGCAACAACCCATTTTCCCTGCTGGAGATCAATAAAGGTTTATCTGAAATACTTGATCCCTGAGGGGAAGTTCATTATTACAATTTCTGACTTGCAGATCAGTGCGATTAAGAAATAGAATAATAATAGAAAAATAAAATAAAGGAGTGTGGATGTGCTCAGTATTTTACACTATTAATAGAACTGATGAACAGTACTGAAGAAGTAGTAGTGATAATGAGAGGAGCAATATTGCACAGGATGTGAAGTACTGCACTACAAGGTCCAGTTTAACAACTGAGGGTCTAAGTGTTTGACCCTCTGAGGGAGGAGTTATAAAGTTTGATGGCCACAGGCAGGAAGGACTTCCTGTGGCGCTCTGTGGTGCATTATGGGGGATGAGTCTGTCACTGAAAGTGCTCCTGTGTTTGAGCAGCACGTCATGGAGCGGGTGGGAGACATTGTTCAGGATGACAAGTAGCTTGGACAGCATCCTCCTCTCTGAGAGCCCAGCTCCACTCCACAGCGTCACTGGCCTTGGATCAGTTTGTTGAGCCTGTTGGCGTCCGCTACCCTCAGCCTGCTGCCCCAGCATGCAACAGCAAACAGGACAGCACAGACTCATAAAACATCCTCAGCATCGTCCTGCAGATGTTGAAGGACCTCAGCCTCCTCTGGCCCTTCCTGTAGAGGGCTTCAGTGTTCTTGGTCACTCCCAGGTCCTTGTAGTCCTCCACACTGTCCACACTGATCCCCTGGATGGAAACAGGGGTCACTGGTGCCTTGGCTCTCCTGAGATCCACAACCAGCTCCTTAGTCTTTGTCACAATCAAAGTCCCCCACCACAGCTCTGTACTCAGCCTCCTCACCTGCTGATACATGCTGTTATATGTTATGTAGACTTTAAGACTCAAATGACAGAATACAATATCTAAGTATTATATCATTTTACATTTTTCTCCTTTGGGTTAGGTATTTCACTGCATGAGGCTACTTGTGGACGAATAGACCGCGGAATCTTAAATTAGCTTTTTTTTTTTTTTAATGTAATCAGAATCAGGTTTATTGCCAGGTACATTTTCACATATGAGGACTTTGCCTTGGTATATTTATAAAAATGTGTGCTTAACAACACATAAACATAAATATCAGTTTATCTAGCACACTTAAACCAAACAAGGTGCTTTACAACGGCAATAAAACATTAATTAGAGTATGCAGTATATCACAGACTTTAGAATAACTATAGAAATATAAATACAGAAAAAGTGAAGAGATCAAAAATGTGTAATTAATGGTGTGAATTTACCAAATATGATCAATATAGGCTGGTGACTAATGTTTAATCCTGACATAAAGGTGGAAATGCTCAATAAAATAAGTTAATAAATCGAATAAAATCATTCGGGGACTCAGTTGAGGATATTTTTACAAGAGAAAAGCGCGGATCACGTGTTGAACTACAACTCCCATAAGGCGTCTGTTCCTACAACGCCAAACAACGCACGCGTGAGTTTCCGCCAATCAGAACCCAGGCAGCCGCCCGCGTCACCGTCTCTGACCTCAGCATTTCGGGTATTTTTTTCTGAGCGACTCAGCGGCTGGCGGCGCCATATTGAAAGATCAGATCCGTTTCATAAAACGCTGAAAACGTCGAATTTTCCGCCATGTTGTACCTGGAGGATTATCTCGAGAGTGAGTGTCTGACTCTAACAAAGCGTTGCAGGTGTTTTTGGCGCGTTTTGTGTATTGAATGTGTGTTATTATCCGGGCCGAGCCGTCCGGGCCGTTAGCCTAGCCGTGCTAACGTCTTCTTCTTCTCCTGCAGTGATCGAGCAGCTTCCCATGGACCTCCGCGACAGGTTTACGGAAATGAGGGAGATGGACCTGCAGGTTCAGAGTACGTAACGGAACCGCCGGGTACCGAGCACCCGGTTCCACATGGACACACAGCGAACAGCTTTCTGACGGCTCTCTGAAACATACGGCGACATTATTTAGATTAGCTCCCAGTTAGCACAGCAGGCTAACCGCGTCACCTAGCAACAGACTGAAGTTTTAGATTATTTACATATTTATTATTTACTGCCGTACATGCGGAGCTCCTCCTGCTCTGTCCTGTTGTACTTCAGATTAGCAGATCACTGTCTCCCATCACAATAATCACAAGTTATTTATTCCCGGGGCGGTTTCTTGTGTCACAGTTGCTCACTTTCTTAATCAGGAATAGACATAATAATGAAACGTTGTTCAGAATAAAATAAACAAATCTAAACGGAGCAATATTAAGATGTGTGTAACTATGAGCTACTGGTGCACTTTTATAAGTTTGTTAACTTTAATGTTATTTATTTCATCTCGTGCTGCACATAGAGATAAACATACAGTGGACAGAATAATTATAAATCTGGGTGTGTAAAACAAAACAATGTTGCCGTTATTTACATGTGGATTTGCACTTACATACATACATAAATTATAAAATTGACAAAGTGTATAAGAATAATTAGGAATATGTGGCAGTTAGAGAGCAGAGTTTTAATGTCCTGGACAGACAGTGGTCAGTAATATGCAACAAATCTAAATAAAGCAACAGGATGAATGTTAACAATAACAGCTGACTTTCATTAAAGCTGAAATTATTAATAACTGAACATCGGTGGTTTTTAGACGGTCGGTCGGACGTAACAAGACTTGGACTCTTTGGAGAAACCGAGATCTCTCTGCTTTTACAACATCTCATAAATTAATCGAGAAATAATTTCCTGCTTGATCAACTATGGAACTAATCAGCACGTGCAGTCCTGATGCAGACGGCGTCACAGACTTCATCATAGCCTTTTCATAGATTGGACATGTGACGATAGAAAAACGTCTGTCGTCTACGATTATGCTCCATTGTTTATATGGTCGTGTCGCCAATTCCACACTTTACTGTAATATTTTGGTGAGGGGACAGCGCTTTGCACCGCGGTGAGGTCAGGTTGAAGTCGACATCTATCGCCTGTCTGGAGCTGTTGTGGTCCCTCATGTTAGCTTTGCGGCAGCTAGTAGCGTCAGTTTGCTAATCCACACCCACTCTACCATGGTATTCGTCATGGCGGTGGATATTGATTGAATTTACAAAATAATTTCTATATTGAAATGAATTTTTTGTCACATCACGGAGCAGGTAAAGGAACAAGGAGCTGCCGATCATTTGGTTCCACGTTCAAAAGCTCATTAACAACCAACCTCCACAGCACGAAGCTCCCCTGCTGCTGTGGAGACGCAGTTACAGGCGGACGTCTCTGCAGATTTAGACCCTGACCTCAGACTCGAGATGGCGGCGGGCGTCTCCAGGATATTTAGGTACAGAGGGAGGAAGTGGAGATGCAGCAGCCATCTTTATATCCAGCCTCGGTGAAAACACTGTGACAGTTTGGTCCCAGGACAAGGATGTCCATCACCGTTTAAGTCGACTTAGTTTCTGACCTAAACAGAAGTTTTGGACCTGAAGTGAGCTGAATATAAAATGCTAATAATAATATAATGATTGTGTTTGTGCAGACGCCACCGATCAGCTGGAGCAGAAGGTGATCGAGTTCTTCGTCAACGCCAAGAAGAACAAACCGGAGTGGAGAGAAGAACAGATGGAGGTCATCAAAAAGGTGCGTCTGACTCGCCGATCAGTTCTGAGGAGGAAGCGCTGAAGCTGCAGAGAGTTCATTATAGATCTGTGTTTCAGGATTATTACAAAGCTCTGGAAGATGCAGACGAGAAGGTGCAGCTGGCCAATCAGATTTATGACTTGGTGAGCATCAGTTTGTCAGAGATCACTATTATATATCTATTAATGTGTCATGTTGGTGATTATATCTAAGTTTATTCACAGTGAAGGAAGGTTTGCCCTGTTATTCACGTCAGCGTCCACCAGAGGGCGGTCAGACACCTCCTCCATGTCAGAGCCGGTGTCCTCGGCTCAGTCTGTCTTACATGTAGTCAGACGGAGGTGAAACGTCTCTCCTGTATCGTCCTCAGTTCGTTTGGTTTCTGTTCTCAGGTGGACCGTCACCTGCGTAAACTGGACCAGGAACTGGCCAAGTTCAAGATGGAGCTGGAGGCCGACAACGCCGGCATCACGGAGATCCTGGAGAGACGTGAGACACGTTCCAGTCCTGAACGCTGATGAGTCCTTTAGAGCTGAGGAAGCAGAGTGTCTTTAACTGTCTTCTTCTTCTTCTGCTCCTCAGGATCTTTAGAGATGGACAGTCCGTCTCAGCCGGTCAACAACCACCACGTCCACTCTCACACGGCAGCCGAGAGTAAGTACTGCCTCCTCTTCAGGCGCTGGGTCGGTCCTGGATAGGGTTGGGTACACAAACCTGGTACCAACATGGAACCGGCTCCTATATGACCTCATCTGGTCATTTCGGTGCCACTTAAGCTGCTTTTCCAGCACCAGCTCAGCTCGCCTCACTTTGGCTGTGCTCTTCTCAGAAGTGGATTTAGTGATGAAATTCCATACGAAAACTGTAAAATATAAAACTTTCTGTTGCTGGCCTCTGTCTGGTGCAGTAATGATGATGCAGTGAATAGAGACGATTCTCTCTGACCAGTCAGCAGTCTGCTGTGTTTTCACATCACATTTTAGTATCCCTCAGCTCGCTTGGAACTTTGACGGAGGTGATACGAACACAAACAGGCCTAAATACAGCAGCGAAGCTTAAGAAGACCAGGTTAAAATAGATTTTCTACTTCTCTGCTGCAGACTGTTGACGTGCACCTTAAACAGTTAATATGTTCAAGTTAAAGAATTTAAAACCTTTATTTTAAACATCCTCTCTTTAATGTTTAAAGTATCGTTTTAAAAGGATTTATTTGGCACCGGAGTCGTAAAAAACCCAAACGATACCAAACTCTGGTCCTGGATCCCCCCCCCCCCCGTCACCAGCAGCGTGTCGGACCAGTAGAGCCGGGTCAAAGGTCATTCAGAGACCGACAGCTTGATTCAACAGTAAACATTCTGCAGAGCTTCATCTCTCAGTTTAATGTTTTCACTCAGAGCGTCTGTGGTCTTTGTGTCACGACAGAGAGGAAGTACAGCGCCCCAACTCACCACACCACAGAACACGTTCCTGAGAAGAAGTTCAAGTCTGAAGCTCTGCTGTCCACGCTCACATCGGACGCCTCCAAGGAGAACACACCAGGTAGCACACACGCTCACCAGGTAGCCCACCAGGTAGCACACACGCCCACCAGGTAGCACACACGCCCACCAGGTAGCACACACGCTCACCAGGTAGCCCACCAGGTAGCACACACGCTCACCAGGTAGCCCACCAGGTAGCACACACGCTCACCAGGTAGCCCACCAGGTAGCACACACGCTCACCAGGTAGCACACACGCTCACCAGGTAGCACACACGCTCACCAGGTAGCACACACGCTCACCAGGCTCACCAGGTAGCACACACGCTCACCAGGTAGCCCACCAGGTAGCACACACGCTCACCAGGTAGCCCACCAGGTAGCACACACGCTCACCAGGTAGCCCACCAGGTAGCACACACGCTCACCAGGTAGCCCACCAGGTAGCACACACGCTCACCAGGTAGCCCACCAGGTAGCACACACGCTCACCAGGTAGCCCACCAGGTAGCACACACGCCCACCAGGCTCACCAGGTAGCACACACGCCCACCAGGCTCACCAGGTAGCACACACGCCCACCAGGCTCACCAGGTAGCCCACCAGGTAGCACACACGCCCACCAGGCTCACCAGGTAGCACACCAGGTAGCACACACGCTCACCAGGTAGCACACCAGGTAGCACACACGCTCACCAGGTAGCACACCAGGTAGCACACACGCTCACCAGGTAGCACACCAGGTAGCACACACGCACACCACGCTCACCAGGTAGCCCACCAGGTAGCACACACGCTCACCAGGTAGCACACCAGGTAGCACACCAGGTAGCACACCAGGTAGCACACACGCTCACCAGGTAGCACACCAGGTAGCACACACGCTCACCAGGTAGCACACCAGGTAGCACACCAGGTAGCACACCAGGTAGCACACACGCTCACCAGGTAGCACACCAGGTAGCACACACGCCCACCAGGCTCACCAGGTAGCACACCAGGTAGCACACACGCACACCAGGTAGCACACCAGGTAGCACACACGCACACCAGGTAGCACACCAGGTAGCACACACGCACACCAGGTAGCACACCAGGTAGCACACACGCACACCAGGTAGCACACACGCACACCAGGTAGCACACCAGGTAGCACACCCGCACACCAGGTAGCACACACGCACACCAGGTAGCACACCAGGTAGCACACACGCTCACACATGCTTGCCCCCCTTCACCTGAGTGTACAGCTGACATTGAGTTGTGTCCTGTGCAGGCTGCCGTACCAACAGCACGACCTCGGCCACCAACAACGTGTACAGCGTGAACTCCTCTCAGCCTCTGGCCTCCTACAACCTGAGCTCCCTGCCCGCGGGCCCCGGGGCTGGGGCCGGGGCCATCACCATGGCCGCCGCTCAGGCCGTGCAGGCCACCGCTCAGGTCAGTGTTTCCGGGACTCAAATGCCAGGACCATTACTGTGGTCATCGTTCTCAGCGCAGCATGTTGTAGGTGATGAACCTGGCGTTGCTGATGGTGTCTGTCCCCGTGCTCAGATGAAGGAGGGCCGTAGGACGTCCAGTCTGAAGGCGAGCTACGAGGCCATCAAGAACAACGACTTCCAGCTGGGCCGAGAGTTCGCCCTGGCCCGGGACAGCGCCGGGTACTCCTCCTCCGCTCTGGCCTCCACCCTCACCCAGACCCTCACCCCCACCGCCGCCTCTGACTCCAGGGGCCGCAAGTCCAAGTAAGACCTGTTAATTTGTTTTGGTGACGTTGCGGCGGAAGCTGCGCGACATGTAGTTAGATGTTTGGGGAGTGTCAGGCTACGCCGTCGACTCGCTCGATCTGCGAGACAGATCGCAGCTGTTAGCACGCACAGCGTCACCGGGCTACGACACAACGTTAACCGCTAGTTTTATTTTGAAAGTCTAACCGGATGTCGCGTGTTTATTGTTGCTAACTTGACCGCGGCGCCGTGGAAACACGACCCTGAAGGTACCTGGGGCGATAAAGACCAGGAGTCGGTGTGTGATGAGAAGATCCAGGTGTGTTACACATGTTCACAACACACGTCTGCTCTTCCTGTCTCTCAGAAGCAGCATCAAGTCCTCCAACCACCAGTCCTCCTCCTCCTCCTCCTCTTCCTCCCTGTCCTCCTGCTCTTCGTCGTCTGCGCTGGCTCAGGAACTTTCCCAGCAGGCCTCAGCGCTGCCGGAGGCCGAGGCCAACAGTCAGGTGGACTGGACCTACGACCCCAACGAGCCCCGGTACTGCATCTGTAACCAGGTACGGGGACGGACAGCTGGCCAATCACTGAGCGACGTGGCTGTGATGTCGTGTGTCCTGTATTGGCCAGTAATGATCAGGTGTTGTCTCGATGTTTTGCAGGTGTCCTACGGAGAGATGGTCGGCTGCGACAACACAGACGTGAGTATGATTGATTTGCGAGTGATTGGTGGCGAGCGATCGGACCGCTCGAGTCTCTGATCCGGGACCGGGAGTTCTGACCATGTGTCCTGTGTCTGCAGTGTCCCATCGAGTGGTTCCACTACGGCTGCGTGGGCCTGACCGAGGCTCCCAAGGGGAAGTGGTTCTGTCCTCAGTGCACGGCCGCCATGAAGCGCAGAGGCAGCCGCCACAAATAGAGGGTCCGGCCGCCCCGCCCTCATCAAGCACAGCTACCGTCGGCCGCCCGGGGTCAGAGGTTGGCAGGCTGGGAACACGTTGTGCCAACAGGAAGCGTTCTGGGACTAAACCATTTCACCGCCGCCCCCCTAACGTTCTGGACTTTCCAAGAATCCTGCAGGTTTCTGTTTGTTTTCTTTATTAACACAAGTCAGACTTGATTGGTCTGATGATGCGGATCCATCAGGACCTGGTCCCTCTGGACGGACCTGCTGAAGCCCTGAACGTTTGGTCTCCAGTCGAGGGACCAGAGAAGCTCTCTGAACCTGTTCCGGTGTGTCCAGGTGTGATTCTGTTCTGTACCTCACCTGGCCAGGTCAGAGGTCAGGCTGTGTGTACCTGGAGGACTTTAAATAAACTGGACCTGAACTCGTTCTGTTCTCAGACCTCTTTTCTGTTTGATTCTGGCCTCTTCTGGTCCAGGTCTGATCTTCAGGTCTGGACTCTGTAACGGATCCAGGCTTTAGTTCTTGGTGTTTCTCCTGTGACGAGGTTCAGACCTGATGATGTAATCGTTTGTGGCCCTCCAACTCATTAATTACACGTTTTAATAATTCAGAGTCCAGGTTCCCCTGAAAGACTACAAACAGGGTGTTTGGACTACAACTACAGAAGCCTGGAGGGGCCTGCTGCGAACGACCACATGTTTCAGAACAAACTCACAAACCTGTCGCTGTGTGTTACTGTGTGTGTGTGTGTTACTGTGTGTGTGTGTGTGTGTGTGTGTTACTGTGTGTGTTACTGTGTGTGTGTGTGTGTGTGTGTGTGTTACTGTGTGTGTGTGTGTGTGTACTGTGTGTGTGTGTGTGTGTGTTACTGTGTGTGTGTGTGTGTGTGTGTGTTACTGTGTGTGTGTTACTGTGTGTGTGTTTCCAGCGATGTCTAAACAATAAAAGTCGGATAAAAGACGAGATGTTTTGGTGTCTGTTGACTTGTTGGGTTTCATGTGTTGGTACTTGGGCTCTGAGCTGCAGGGAGAACCTGAAGCTGGCGTCACTGCTGCAGATCAGCTGACGTCTCTGACTGATCCCGGGTCAGTTTCAGGTGAGCTGTTCTGAATTCTCGGGTGGATTCCCTTCAGAAACAAGTTTGAGGGTGAGGAGTTGTGCGGTGACCGCCGGGGGCGCCACGCTGCACTCTACAGTTTCTCAGTGAGCTCATGGTAGGCGGAGGTCGGTTTGACGCAGAGATTTACCGGATGAATTCAGTAAGTTTGATCAACTCTAATATGCGAGGTTTAATTTATAAAAACACTTGAGACCGTTGAGGTTAATGTGAAAGAAACGGGAGCAGCCTGACGAGCTCCTTCACAGCTCTGAGTGAAGGTAGCAGGAGAAGCTGCTGGAGCTCAAGGACCTCCTGACTCCCTGTTCAGCCTTTCAAAGGACACAGCTGAGGATCTGTGGAGCAGACGCCACATCCTGACGAGTACACAGTGAGTACTAACACTACACAGCGAGTACTAACAGTACACAGCGAGTACTAACAGTACACAGCGAGTACTAACAGTACACAGCGAGTACTAACAGTACACAGTCATACTACACACTACACAGTGACGACTAACGGTACACAGCAGGTACTAACAGTACACAGTGAGTACTAACAGTACACAGTCATACTACACAGCGAGTACTAACAGTACACAGTAATATGACAAACTACACAGTGAGCAGTACTAACAGAAACTACACAGTGAGCAGTACTAACAGAAACTACACAGTGAGCAGTACTAAGAGTACACAGTAATATTACACACTACACAGTGAGCAGTACTAACAGAAACTACACAGTGAGCAGTACTAACAGTACACAGTAATATTACAAACTACACAGTGAGCAGTACTAACAGAAACTACACAGTGAGCAGTACTAACAGTACACAGTAATATTACAAACTACACAGTAAGCAGTACTAACAGTACACAGTAATATTACAAACTACACAGTAAGCAGTACTAACAGTACACAGTAATATGACAAACTACACAGTGAGCAGTACTAACAGAAACTACACAGTGAGCAGTACTAACAGAAACTACACAGTGAGCAGTACTAAGAGTACACAGTAATATTACACACTACACAGTGAGCAGTACTAACAGAAACTACACAGTGAGCAGTACTAACAGTACACAGTAATATTACAAACTACACAGTGAGCAGTACTAACAGAAACTACACAGTGAGCAGTACTAACAGTACACAGTAATATTACAAACTACACAGTAAGCAGTACTAACAGTACACAGTAATATTACAAACTACACAGTGAGCAGTACTAACAGTACACAGTAATATTACAAACTACACAGTAAGCAGTACTAACAGTACACAGTAATATTACAAACTACACAGTGAGCAGTACTAACAGTACACAGTAATATTACAAACTACACAGTGAGCAGTACTAACAGTACACAGTAATATTACAAACTACACAGTGAGCAGTACTAAGAGTACACAGTAATATTACAAACTACACAGTGAGCAGTACTAACAGTACACAGTAATATTACAAACTACACAGTGAGCAGTACTAACAGAAACTACACAGTGAGCAGTACTAACAGTACACAGTAATATTACACACTACACAGTGAGCAGTACTAACAGAAACTACACAGTGAGCAGTACTAACAGTACACAGTAATATTACAAACTACACAGTGAGCAGTACTAACAGAAACTACACAGTGAGCAGTACTAACAGTACACAGTAATATTACAAACTACACAGTGAGCAGTACTAACAGAAACTACACAGTGAGCAGTACTAACAGTACACAGTAATATTACAAACTACACAGTGAGCAGTACTAACAGTACACAGTAATATTACACACTACACAGTGAGCAGTACTAACAGAAACTACACAGTGAGCAGTACTAACAGTACACAGTAATATTACACACTACACAGTGAGCAGTACTAACAGAAACTACACAGTGAGCAGTACTAACAGTACACAGTAATATTACAAACTACACAGTGAGCAGTACTAACAGAAACTACACAGTGAGCAGTACTAACAGTACACAGTAATATTACACACTACACAGTGAGCAGTACTAACAGAAACTACACAGTGAGCAGTACTAACAGAAACTACAAAGTGAGCAGTACTAACAGAAACTACACAGTGAGCAGTACTAACAGTACACAGTAATATTACAAACTACACAGTGAGCAGTACTAACAGTACACAGTAATATTACACACTACACAGTGAGCAGTACTAACAGAAACTACACAGTGAGCAGTACTAACAGTACACAGTAATATTACACACTACACAGTGAGCAGTACTAACAGAAACTACACAGTGAGCAGTACTAACAGTACACAGTAATATTACAAACTACACAGTGAGCAGTACTAACAGTACACAGTAATATTACACACTACACAGTGAGCAGTACTAACAGTACACAGTAATATTACAAACTACACAGTGAGCAGTACTAACAGAAACTACACAGTGAGCAGTACTAACAGAAACTACACAGTGAGCAGTACTAACAGAAACTACACAGTGAGCAGTACTAACAGAAACTACACAGTGAGCAGTACTAACAGTACACAGTAATATTACAAACTACACAGTGAGCAGTACTAACAGTACACAGTAATATTACACACTACACAGTGAGCAGTACTAACAGAAACTACACAGTGAGCAGTACTAACAGTACACAGTAATATTACACACTACACAGTGAGCAGTACTAACAGTACACAGTAATATTACAAACTACACAGTGAGCAGTACTAACAGAAACTACACAGTGAGCAGTACTAACAGTACACAGTAATATTACAAACTACACAGTGAGCAGTACTAACAGAAACTACACAGTGAGCAGTACTAACAGTACACAGTAATATTACACACTACACAGTGAGCAGTACTAACAGTACACAGTAATATTACAAACTACACAGTGAGCAGTACTAACAGAAACTACACAGTGAGCAGTACTAACAGAAACTACACAGTGAGCAGTACTAACAGAAACTACACAGTGAGCAGTACTAACAGTACACAGTAATATTACACACTACACAGTGAGCAGTACTAACAGAAACTACACAGTGAGCAGTACTAACAGAAACTACACAGTGAGCAGTACTAACAGAAACTACACAGTGAGCAGTACTAACAGTACACAGTAATATTACAAACTACACAGTGAGCAGTACTAACAGTACACAGTAATATTACACACTACACAGTGAGCAGTACTAACAGAACTACACAGTGAGCAGTACTAACAGTACACAGTAATATTACACACTACACAGTGAGCAGTACTAACAGAAACTACACAGTGAGCAGTACTAACAGTACACAGTAATATTACAAACTACACAGTGAGCAGTACTAACAGAAACTACACAGTGAGCAGTACTAACAGAAACTACACAGTGAGCAGTACTAACAGTACACAGTAATATTACACACTACACAGTGAGCAGTACTAACAGAAACTACACAGTGAGCAGTACTAACAGTACACAGTAATATTACACACTACACAGTGAGCAGTACTAACAGAAACTACACAGTGAGCAGTACTAACAGAAACTACACAGTGAGCAGTACTAACAGAAACTACACAGTGAGCAGTACTAACAGTACACAGTAATATTACACACTACACAGTGAGCAGTACTAACAGAAACTACACAGTGAGCAGTACTAACAGAAACTACACAGTGAGCAGTACTAACAGAAACTACACAGTGAGCAGTACTAACAGTACACAGTAATATTACAAACTACACAGTGAGCAGTACTAACAGTACACAGTACTTGTACTTCACTGTGATGTTTTGTTATTTATAATCATTAAACCTGTTGATGCATCAGTGTATTACTGCTGGTACTCCAAGTACATTTAGCTGGTAATACTTTTACTGAAGTAACATTTCCAGTTTTAATACTTGAGCATAAATAAAATCCGACAGTCGCTGCAGTAACTTTCACAATAGAACAGTGAAGTATTTGTACTTTTCCGTGAGTAGGCCGGAGCCTCTGAATACTTCAGCACCACTGAAGAAGACGTTTCAAAAATGTGAGCGACGTTTCATTGACTTGAACCTCCGCACGCGCGCACGCGCGCACACACACACGCACTGTATATGTAGGGTGTGTGTGTTTTCCAGAAATAACTCCGCTCAGGGGGGAGGAGGAGGAGGAGGAGGAGGAGGAGGAGGAGGAGGAGGAGGAGGAGGAGGTCCTGACCTCCTACAGAGCAGCAGCAGATTTTACTCTCCAGACTCCAGAAACTGCTTCATCCTGACTGTGTGGGACAAGAACAGAGAAGAAGAAGGGTTCGTGGGTCCAGGTCTGTGGTCCCGGGTCGTCCCGTGCAGGAGGGGCTGGTTTCTGTGGCTCCTGTTTACTCCTGCTGGATTTAACTCAAACCAGATGCTTCCTCTGCCAGACTCCGCCGCCGGACGGGCTGGTTTGAACTCCTCTGCGACGCCACCAAACTCCACGCGTTTCTCCTCAAGTTTTAAGCCTCGCGTTAAATAGAAAATGCGCGGTTGTTGCTCAGTTTAACGGATCTGTTTGGAGGTTTTACCGGATTCTTCTGACGGTCCCGTTAATCCAGGTTTTTTTATCAGCTGACGGGACGTCGGCTTCAGTTGTGCTGCGCACTTTGGATTGAGACAAACCAGCTGGATGATTGGATAAATAAGAGAGAATGATTTGCCTTTGAAGAGTCGGACGGTGCTCGTTCTTCCTCTAAACTTTAAAGCCGCAGGATCTGGACCTGAGGAGGACAGAAGATGCGGTTCTGCTGCTTGGAAGCGAAGTTGTGTCCTGCGCCGCGCGTCCCGGCTGCTCCGCTGCACAAACCGCGTCCCGCTTCAGAATCAGCGCCTTTTAGCATTTGATTCGTTGCTGGTTAAAGTTCTTTGGATTCACAACATGCGTTAAGACTTTACCAGACTGTCGTGGAGCCGCTAGCAAATTCGGCCTAAATATAATCCATCCAGCGGCAGAACAGGATCTAAGAGAACAACTTCCCGAAGCTGACCAGGAGCCCACAGAGGTGAGATGATGAAGATGTGAAGGGTCCCCCTCCTCTCATGCGGTGCGTCCTGGCTTCAGCTGCCGGACTTCTCCTGAGGGAGGCCGGGATGCTCCTGCGCCGCCGGTCCTGCTCCGGCCCGCTGCTGCTGCTCGGGGTGGCGGTGTGTCTCTTCTACCAGCTGATGGTGGTCCGGAACCGGCTCCGGTCCGGACAGCAGCAACCCGCCGCCGATATCCGCTGCAGGAGGCCGTCGGACGAAGTCCTGATGGAGGAGACCAGGAGGTTCCTGTCTACTCTGGAGACTCTGCAGGTGAGTTTACCTGCTGTGACCCCAACAGGCTGACGCTTTGTTTAATGTGCTTTCTCTTCGGGACCAAACGGCTCCGTGTATAAAAAGCAGATCCTGGAAACCTTCAGAGCTTCCAGCAGGTCGTGGTCAGGTGAGGAAGGCGACACAGAGGGGCAGGAGGAAAACTGCTCCATCACCAAACTTCATTCAGAAAGGACAGAATTATAGAGTTAAAACTTTCCCCTGCAGATCCACTTCTTGAAATGAAATATTTTATCTCAGAGTAACTCATGAAAGCTGCGCAGGTCATTTCTTCAGCTCAGACACTTTGTGTAACAGAAATGCTGTAAACCTTTAAGCACTTTGAAATGAGCTGGGTTGTGCGCTTCTTTATTATAATCCTTCAATAACAAGTTTAATCCCAATAAAGAAACTGACTTTCGGATTAATTCACTAGCAAATCACCAAATTTCATTTAAAATCCAGGCTTTTTAAGATTTGCTTGGGAGTAAGACGATACTTTCTAATATCTTGTAAATTCAGCATAATATAAACAATATTTAACTAAAACCACCTGTCACCTTTTTAAAGGGCCAATAGAACAATGAGAATTATTGCCATATAATTTTCCTCAATAACAAATATAAACGTTCAATAAATGTTTGATTTAATTCATTTGAATCACGAATTATGTTGAGAAAAAAGGAACTGTTTCTTTAAAACCACAGTTAACCTTCTGCTTTCTTCAACTTTCACTCGGTAATGATTTGACATTTGTCCCGACGGTGATGGATTCTGGATGAGATGACGTGTCGGGCCATGTTGCCCTGCCCTTATAAAACCTTTAAAGTCTAGTCTGATGACTGTAACCTGACTTGCTCAGCTCGGAGTCTTTAAAGTGGCAGATTTGTGAATGGAGTTCTGTCCAGCAGGTCTGAGTCGGGCCTGCTGGCTCGAGGCTCCTTCTGGCTCATTGTTGCAGTATTTTTAGATTTTCAGGGGCTCGGTGGCCGAGGGTTTTATTTTACTGCTGGAGGGACCAGTCAGATCCAGGGTGTCCTGTCCTGGATGCGTGTCGGGCATTTTAAGTGTCGTCAGCGTCCCTGATATAAATATTTGTGCCATCAATCAGCTGAGGATCCAGTTCTCGACAGATTAGTGCGTGTAAACTGGCAGCTGACAGACGCGCTCTCTGTCTGGTCCTCCTGCTTTGTGTTTGGTTTATTTTATGACGCCTGCTAAACTTTGACATCTGTTCAGGTTTGAAGCAGCAGGAAACATCTTGTTTGTTGTTTGGACTGAGAAAGAAGAGAGACTGCGGCGAACGTGAGAGTGAGAGGTTTATTTTCACTAATTTAACATGTAACTCTGGTGCTCGGGGAGATGTGTGTGTGTGTGTGTGTGTGTGTGTGTCACGTTTGTTCAATGAAAGCTGCGGTCGCTTGCAGAAGGTCTGAAAACCTTAAAGCCGCCTCGCCCTGAGGACCCCTGCAGCAGGCTTCAGCTGCTATGGAACTTAACATTGGCTCAGTTTAGAGAAAGTGACTGGTGGCTTTATTTAATCACTACCTCGCGGAACCTGTCCAGTGTTGAGAGCATCAGGTACTAACTGAGTCCTGCACAGACCGCCACATCAGGAGCTGAGCTTAGCAAAGCTGATCAGCGATAAAAACTCGTCCGTTGAAGCTGATGAGGAGACGTACAGACACGAGGCAGACATGAACAGCCCTGTGTCTAACGATTCTGGGCTCATATTAACGGGGTTTTAGGGGGAGATGCCCAAAACATGCTTCACCTCCGCTGCTACTACTCCATCCCAGGAGACACACGAGGCCAGACAGGTGAGGGGGACCGGCTGAAACCAGATCAGCTGTTAAACTGGTTTCACTCTTTGATGCTTCAGCTGCTGCATGTTGGGTTTCTTTACTAGTCCTGAAGGTGCTTTTGGACTATTCGGGGCCCCGTTCCTGGCCGGGGCCCCTCATGGCTTCAGTTATACTGCTGTGTTTAGCTGTGAAACATGAAGTCATTTAATGTACATTTACACTGAAGCTACTCACAAACAAAACTCACACCGCTTCTTATCCCCGTCAGGAAAAACAGACGTCCTCAGCTACAGATCTGAGAGTAACAGGAAGTCAGTTAAACTTCAGGGAGATCAGTCCGTCCAGGTAGGAAGTGATGGCGGATCAGGGTCTCCTGTTTTGGTGCAGATTAAAGTAACAACAGGTCACAAAGAGGACGGCTCTGCAGCTGGGTCCTCAGACAGCTGCTCTCTCCTGATCCTCCCCGACTGACGGTTCTTTAGTTCTGGGTTCTGATAGTGTCCTTGTCACTACTGGTAGCATGAAGCGGAACCTGCAGCACATTCAGGTTCACAGGTAGTCCAGCAGCAGGTAGTCTCAGAGCATGGAGGAGACACCGGGAGAGCCGGACAGGACTGTGGAAGGGCATCAACCCAGCATGAAGGCTTGAAGTCCTCCAGTGGGATCTGCCGTGGGCTCCCGTTCTCTTTACACTGAACACATGTGACAGACGTGAAGAGTCTGGAGATGCCGTGGTGAACGTTACGCTGCCTGCAACATCATCCAGCAGGACCGGCATCGCTCCTGCACCTGGTGCAGCGGGTCCTGGCTTCCTTCTGGTGCAGCGGGTCCTGGCTTCCTTCTGGTGCAGCGGGTCCTGGGGGGTCCTGGTGCAGCGGGTCCTGGCTTCCTTCTGGTGCAGCGGGTCCTGGGGGGTCCTGGTCCAGTTGAGAACCTCTGGGACGTTCTGTATCGGTGCACCCCCAAGTAAGCTCATGAGTGAGTGAGCTCATGACAGTCTGTGGACCAGACTGTCATGAGCTCACTGAAGCCCTGATCCAGGTCTGGAGGAGATCTCATCAGTCCATGTGGATTTGCTGCTATTTTAATTTCTTCATCCCGTTATTTCGGCCCAATATCTACACTGCTCTGGTTCTTGATTAGAGGATCATGCAGAGCACCTGTAGCACAGGTGAGGGGACTGGGTCCTCAGCAAGGATTGAGGACAGCTGGGGGATTCAGGGCCAATCAGGGTGCGAGGACACCGATGCTGGAAGACAGAAGAGGGGCCTACCTGCAGACCTGGACTCTGAAGCTTTCTGAACTCTCTGGTACGGCTAAGAACTCACCTTCTCAGACAAAGTCAGGCCTTGGCTCTGTCCTTTGGGACCTGCTGAGACCCCTTTAGTCTCTCTGAAGAGGACAGGGCTCTCTGGACCGTCAGCTCCTCAAGCAAGGCAAATGTTTCCTGCCCCACCTTTACCTGCGGCCTGCCGGTTGTTTTCATTTAAACCCCCTCCCTCTTTCTTTTCTTTCTATTTGTTGTTTTTTTCCATCCAAATACTTGTGGGGATATTTTTTATATATTATGTGTTGGGGAACTGGGCCTCAGTCAGTTTCCCCTGAGGCCTGCAGAACCAGTACCGCCACACCACAGGACACGTTTCAGTTCATGAGACCAGGGACCTCCTGCAGCAGTGGAGCGGAGGGCGTCCAATAAGAGCTGTGACGGCGTCAGAGGAGCAACGTTTCCTTTCAAACCCGGTGTTTGTCTTCAGGACGTCAGCTGGATCTGCTGCTCACAGACCACTGGGCTCAGTCAGGTCATGTGATCTGTGTCGGGTCACGTGATGACGGTGATGACGGTGACTCGGTTCATCGGTCTGGTATGAGACCTCGTTAGTGCTTCTGTTTGTGGACACAAAGTTCAGCTTCCTGATGTGTGAACGTCCGTTACTGAGGTGACTCTAACGCAGTACATCAAGTACTGAAGTATCACACTGAGGTACTTTATGGGACAGAAAGTATTTCTCCTCATGTTTCACGTTCAGCTGCTTTCCTCTGACAGAAATGAGGAGAATGGATTCACTGATAAAACCAGCGGGACTTCCAGTCATCAAAGTTCAACTCTTTAGTGCTTGTTTGTCCTCCTCGTCTCTGAGTTTTATCTCCATGTGAGGAAGGAAAACAGACTGAAAACAGGAAGTCTGCCAACTTCTTTTCACCAGCACGGACGTTAACTGACTGCAGAGCTGATCTGAATGCTGAACCAGCAGGAGACAGACCGGCTGGATCTGAACTACATGAGGACGAGGGACAAGTCGTCTTCGTCTGTTTGACTGCAGGAAAACAGACCGTCAGACTTTCTTCTTCTGACGGACCCAGTTTCATGTTTCTCCGGTCCTTAAAGACCAAAACCAGGTCCTCTCCTTTAGTTTAGTTTGTGCAGCTCAAAGAATCTAACCCAGGCGTCAGTTTCACCTGAACCTGTTTTAAAGTTGATCTTAAGGCCTGCATCTTTATTCTTATTTTCCAGCTGGTCGTCCGTTTTATTTTATTCTCATTCTCACTAACATCAGGTCTCTGTGACAGGAGGGTTCACTCTGTTGCTGTTCCCAGGAGCCAAAACTACATTCCTGACTTGTCTGTAGTCACATATGGACGCTCATTCAGACCCTTTGGCGTTGCTTTTTAACGCCCTTTAGCGTCGTTTTTGCTCTGCGGTCAAGTTAGCAAGAATAAATATGCAACAACTTTCAAAATAAAACTAGTGGTTAACGTTGTGAATCGTCCCAGTTTGGTTAGGTTTGGGCAAAGATCCTGGTTTGGGTTAAAATAACTACGTCACTGATGTACGGCGAGTAAAGTCACGCTGGTCTCCTGGGTGAAAGACCGGTTTCCAGCCAGCCACCCCAACCTTACTCTGACTTTATTTTTACATCAGACCACCAGCTCGGTCAGATCTGAGCTCACACACATGAAACAACACTGATTAGTCCGCTCCCCGAGGACTTCATGGTCTCTGATGTTCGTCCAGAACCAGAGAGAACCTGCAGAACCTTCACAACAGGAGCAGCTAACGGCTAATCCATCTGACTTAGTGTAAACAAACACAGGCTAAAACAACACAGCTGTTTACATCTCCCAAAGCATTATGGGAGGTGTAGTTGGAATGATTGGAGCGCGATCGCCAGTAAAAATGTCTTCATGTTGCCCTGACCCTGATGAGTTGGTCCTGGGTCTGTGTTTGAGGCTCCAGGACCTGGTGTCACTGAATCCCTCAGGACTTATATTTAGTCCATGTTATCTGAAGCAGCTGCACGCACACAGGGACGTGTTGGGACTTGTGTACTTGTGAGGACCTTTAGTGACTTTGACCTCCGTTCGCTTTACAAAATAAACCTGAGACAGAAAACTGAGACAAACGTCTGTTTGTTCCTTCAGACTTTCATTTCTGCTGCATTTCTTCTGAGATTCTGGATGATTTTAAATCTTCAGGCCACAAAAAAACATAAATTTAACTAAAAGCTCTGTTTCACCTGGTCGGGTTTTTAATAATGACGAGGGCTCACAGGGAGACCAGACCGCACTGTGATTTAATCTGAACACAAACCTGATTCTAAGCTCAGGCTTTTTAAACGTCCTCTCTAACAGATGAAAACACAAAGTGGTCCTCACAGAGACAGAAGTAACACTCTGTCAGCCTGCAGCTTCATGTCAGCTGATTAAAAGGATTCAGAAGAGGAAGCCAGCTGATCATAAACACTCAGTTTAACACGGACAGAAAGCTTTAGGACGTTAGTGTGAAGGATTCTCTCCTCAGCGACTCGTTGGCAGCTGATTGATCGATGGAAAACCTGCCAACAGGAGGGACAGGAATTATAATCTGACAACCTGTTCAACCTGAATATAAACTGATTCACTCTCTGATCTACGGTGGCTCATTTGGACCGAATGAATATCCAAGAATCCAGATGAGAACAGAAACGTGTTTTTAAACTGGAGTCAGTCGATAATCTGATCACAAACATGTCAGACACCAGGATGTAAAAGGGTTGAATGATTTGTAGTGTTTTATTTAATACTTTCTCTAAAGTTCCTTCAGAAACTGGGCTGTAAAATAAAGTGTTCAGATTTCATTCCTCTTCACGTTGGGCGTCGGTCTTAAAGCTCAGTGAGTCTTTACATCTGTGGACACTAAAACCCCCGAACGGACAGATGAACCCAGAGGACACGAGGTCAGGGTCCTCACCGGCAGCTGAAGCTCTGAGACATTCCTCGTCTTCATCACCACCACCTCCTCCTCGGTGCTGCCCAGTCAGAGTCACTTCACTTCAGTAAAAGTACCATCACCACAGTGTAAAAGTACTCTAGTGCTGCAAAGGCAGCCTGCTGTCAGCCACTCAACACATTACCATATGGATCATCATCATATGGACACACGGTCAAGACCCGTTGGTGTTAGGCTGTTAGAAACAGCAGAAGAGAGCAGAAAAGTCAGATTTGGGTCACTTTGTAGTCTGAGTAGCCTTCGTAATGCATGAGGGAAACCCTGTAGCGTCACTAATGAATGCAGGTTCAGGATATTTAACAGAACTGTCAGTGAGGAGGTGGTCGGGGAGGACGGAGGGCCAGAAACTGGACTTTCAACCACGAGACTGGTGTTTGTTTCCCAGGTGAAACAAAAAGTCAGCACTGAATGTTTTTACACTGAACAAAATTATAAAGGCAACCCTTTTGTTTTTGCCCCCATTCATCATGAGCTGAACTCAAAGATCTGAGACTTTCTCTATGTACACAAAAGGCCTATTTCTCTCAAATATTGTTCACAAATCTGTCAAAATCTGTGTTAGTGAGCACTTCTCCTTTGCCGAGATAATCCATCCACCTCACAAGTGTGGCATATCAAGATGCTGATCAGACAGCATGGGGATTGCACAAGTGTGCCTTATTGTGGCCAGCCTAAGGCCTTTTATTGTGGCCAGCCTAAGGCCTTTTATTGTGGCCAGCCTAAGGCCTTTTATTGTGGCCAGCCTAAGGCACACCTGTGAGGTGGATGGATTATCTCAGCAAAGGAGAAGTGCTCACTTCTCGATCTTTTCCTAAACTAACCAAACTGGGACGATTCACAACGTTAACCACTAGTTTTATTGTGAAAGTCTAAGCTGAAGTTGCATATTTATTGTTGCTAACTTGACCGTGGAGCCCTAAAACGTACCCAGGGCATTAAAGAGCGTCACCAAGGGGTCTGACCAAGAGTCCACATGTGACGATGTGTTGGTGCTCACAATGTAAATGTGAACATTTAATATGAATAGAAGAAGAAGTTTGTTAAATCATGTTGAAAGTTTTTCATATTATGAACTTTGTTTTGAGGACCTTTGTTTATTTCCAACATGTCTAAGGTCCTACAGGATCAGCTGGACAAGTCTCTGGGTTTTAGTTGTAAAAGTAAGTTATATAAGTCAAATTTGAGTTATTCGCGGGATAAATGGTGAAAGGTTTCCAGAGACGTTTGTTGGTTTCATGCATCTGTTTTTAGTTTTAGCTCAGCGGCTGTTTTTAAAGTGTTCAGAATATTTAACAGATTTCAGCTGCAGCGATTGTCTTTTCAACAGAATCAATAATCCCTCACATATCTTTGTTAAATCCTCCACTTTCCTTCATTCCAGTATCATTGTTATTCTGCCTCAGCCCCCCCTCTGCTGCTGCTGTAAACTCATTTATTATTTCTGGCATCATTACTTGTTATTACTCCCAGACGGAGGAGGGCTCAGTTTGTTGACCCTCGGAGGTCTGAGCGAGCCCAGCAGCAAGAGGATCCGTTTGAAGGGAACTTGCTGAGGAGGTTTCTGCTTGTTATTGAGCTTTGAAGTTTCCTCTCATGGAAACAATCAGAGAGGAACTAAAGAATCCACATGTGGAGATCTGAGACACTGAACCAGAACAGAACAACGAAAATGTGCTAAAAAGATCCAATGATAATAAATAAATAATTAAAACTTTGTGTATTTGACACATTTATTGGATAAAGATGTGAAACAGTGAGCTTCCTACTTAAAAACAAACTTAGATTTCCATCTGACCAAGTTACAAACAGCTAACAGAGTGTTGGATATGCTATTGGCACCTAGCATAACGCGGTTTCCAGTCTTTGTGCTAAGCTAGGCTAAACACATGGTGGTGAAACTGATCCACCTGAAGGATCAATACCAGGAGATTAAATGATGAAGACTTGATTTCAGTGTTGTTTTCTATATCTCGCTCAGATACAGCCGTCCCCTCGGCGGCGGCGGGCTGTGGTTCTCATGGGTCGACACCTGGTCTCAGACACCGAGGTCCAGCTGTACCAGCAGGTTCTGCAGCAGATGGGCCATGAGGTCCAGCTGTCCAGATACGCCGAGACCAGCAGCTTCCTCAGAACAAATCACGGTAAGAATACAACATCTTACCAGAGGGGGGCGCTGCAGCAGAGAACAGCTGTAACACTGTTTAACCAGAGGGGGGCGCTGCAGGAGAGAACAGCTGTAACACTGTTTAACCAGAGGGGGGCGCTGCAGCAGAGAACAGCTGTAACACTGTTTAACCAGAGGGGGGCGCTGCAGCAGAGAGAACAGCTGTAACACCGTTTAATCAGAGGGGGGCGCTGCAGCAGAGAGAACAGCTGTAACACTGTTTAACCAGAGGGGGGCGCTGCAGCAGAGAGAACAGCTGTAACACTGTTTAACCAGAGGGGGGCGCTGCAGCAGAGAGAACAGCTGTAACACCGTTTAACCAGAGGGGGGCGCTGCAGCAGAGAGAACAGCTGTAACACTGTTTAACCAGAGGGGGGCGCTGCAGCAGAGAGAACAGCTGTAACACTGTTTAACCAGAGGGGGGCGCTGCAGCAGAGAGAACAGCTGTAACACTGTTTAACCAGAGGGGGGCGCTGCAGCAGAGAGAACAGCTGCAACACCGTTTAACCAGAGGGGGGCGCTGCAGCAGAGAACAGCTGTAACACTGTTTAACCAGAGGGGGGCGCTGCAGCGGAGTTAGTGCTTCCTCTGAGGAACTGGAACATACACTATATTACCAAAAGTTTTGGGTCGCCTGCCTTTACATTCACATGAAGGTTAATGACGTCCCGTTCTTAATGCGTAGCGTTTAACATGGAGTCGACCCCCCTTTGGAGCTAGAACAGCTTCAGCTCTTCTGGGAAGGTTGTCCACGAGGTTTAGGACTGTGTTCATGGGCACATTTGTAAGGTCAGGCACAGATGCTGGACCAGAATTCCTGACTCACCTTGCTTTGTGTTCTGGTGTGCAGTCATGTTGGAACAGGAAAGGGCCGTCCCCAAACTGTTTCCACAAAGCTGGAAGCCTGAAATTGGCCCCTGAAAAACACAGTGAGGTCCCATTCTTTCGCAGATGGTTGTAGAAGCAGTCTGCAGCCCAGGAGCTTTACACACCTGTGGCCATGGAAGTGACTGGAACACCTGAATTCAATGATTCGGAGGGGTGTCCCAATACTTTAGTGTACATCATATATGATAACGATATTCACTGAGCTCTGAGCTGCAGCTGTGCAGATGTTGTTTACTGCACACAGCTGTGATGATGCCTTCAGGTGCTGCTGGAAATATGAAAGTAGTCATCACGGTGGACAGAAATGACTCAAACGCATGTAAAACTATGTAAACACACATGAACAGCAGATTATAAACATGTAAAATATATAAATACATGTGAAAATATTTAAACCTCTCTAACCTTCAAACATGTAAACAAAAACCTTTGATCACGTCACACACACATATACAGACACATCTACATATAACAACACCTGAACATAACAGTTCTGACAGACGTTTGGTTCAAACACACGGAGGAAGTTTGAGTTTCTAACGGTGGCAGCCACAGGAAACACTTAGCTGTGTGTGTGCAGTTTAGTCTCTGGCGTCCCGCTGACCTCACAGGGTGGAGACTTCCTGTCGGACCCGCAGAGCAGCTGCAGGGCTAAACCGAGAAACTGTGATTCTGAAAAGCTCAGATTCTACAAAGATGAGAAAAGATCAGCGAAATGATTAGAAGGTGATCAGACCGAAGAAAGACGACGAATAAAAACAGAAGACGATAAAAAGGTTTTCATGTTGTACTGAACCTGATCCATGAGCTGGTTCTGGGTCTGTGAGGCTCCAGGACCTGGTGTCACTGAATCCCTCAGGACTCATATTTAGTCCATGCTAACGGCTAACAGACTAGCACCAGCTGGGCTCACTCACTGACTGGAGGTCCTCAGCACTCCTCCGGTCATCACAAATAATTAGAATTATTTCTTTAATCATGACTTTTTGCTTTTGTTTTACTTTGAAGTCCTGCTTCAAAGCTGCATCTGCCTGTCCTGAGCAGGTGAGGGGGGCGGGGCCTGATGGTTCTACCAGCAGGTGAAGAAGAAAGAGACTTTTATACCTTCATAAATCAGAGTGACCAGCTGCTCTTCAGCCAGATGCCCCCTCCCCCCCGTTTCTGCCCCTGCTGACAGTCAGTCAGCGTATCAGCTGGAAGCTTTCTAGTCAGACCGTCCCATCAACAGCAGCTGTTAGCAGCTCTGTTAGCAGTTAGCATGGCCTGAAGGAAGCTTAAAAACATGAAGATCCTCAGGGAGTTCTGCAGAATCTGTTCTCTGTGTATTTACAACATGAGAGGTTTGATCTCAAACGGAGCCAACACCTGTTAGAAACCAGCTCAGACTGAACTTCATCAGATTAAAGGTCCTGAATCAGAGCGAAGACTCACTCAAAGCTGCACTTTCAGTGATTAAAACAGAATCAGCACCTGCAGGCCAGAGTCAATGATAAATACTCCACATTTAACGCTTCATACACTGGTGCTACTAGTGCTACTGGTGCTACTGGTGTTAGTGGTGTTACTGGTGTAAGTGGTGTTAGTGGTGTTACTGGTGTAAGTGGTGTTACTGCTGTAAGTGGTGTTAGTGGTGTTACTGCTGTAAGTGGTGTTAGTGGTGTTACTGGTGTAAGTGGTGTTACTGGTGTTACTGGTGTAAGTGGTGTTACTGGTGTAAGTGTTTTAAGTGGTGTTAGTGGTGTTACTGGTGTAAGTGGTGTAAGTGGTGTTACTGGTGTTACTGGTGTTACTGGTGTTAGTGGTGTTAGTGGTGTTACTGGTGTAAGTGGTGTTAGTGGTGTTACTGGTGTTGGTGGTGTTACTGGTGTTGGTGGTGTTACTGCTGGTGTTGGTGGTGTTACTGGTGTTGGTGGTGTTACTGGTTTTACTGGTGTTGGTGGTGTTACTGGTGTAGGTGTTGTTACTGGTGTTCCTGATGTAAGTGGTGTTGGTGGTGTTAGAGGTGTTACTGGTGTAAGTGGTGTTAGAGGTGTTACTGGTGTAAGTGGTGTTAGTGGTGTTACTGCTGTAAGTGGTGTTACTGGTGTTGGTGGTGTAAGTGGTGTTACTGCTGTTTCTGGTGTTACTGGTGTTACTGCTATTAGTGGTGTAAGAGGTGTTACTGTTGTAAGTGGTGTTAGTGGTGTTACTGCTGTAAGTTGTGTTACTGGTGTTACTGCTGTAAGTGGTGTTACTGGTGTTACTGGTGTTACTGGTGTTACTGGTGTTACTGTTGTAAGTGATGTTAGTGGTGTTACTGCTGTTACTGGTGTTACTGGTGTTACTACTGTAAGTGGTGTTAGTGGTGTTACTGCTGTTACTGGTGTTACTGGTGTTACTGCTGTAAGTGGTGTTAGTGGTGTTACTGCTGTTACTGGTGTTACTGTTGTAAGTGATGTTAGTGGTGTTACTGCTGTTACTGGTGTTACTGGTGTTACTACTGTAAGTGGTGTTAGTGGTGTTACTGCTGTTAGTGGTGTTACTGGTGTTACTGCTGTAAGTGGTGTTACTGGAGTAAGTCGTGTTTCTGGTGTTAGTGGTGTAAGTGGTGTTACTGGTGTTGGTGGTGTTAGTGATGTAAGTGGTGTTACTGCTGTTTCTGGTGTTAGTGGTGTTACTGGTGTAAGTGGTGTTAGTGGTATTACTGGTGTTAGTGGTCTTACTGGTGTAAGTGGTGTTTCTGGTGTAAGTGGCGTTAGAGGTGTTTCTGGTGTTAGTGGTGTTATTGATGTAAGTGGTGTTAGTGGTGTTTCTGGTGTTACTGGTAGTGGTGTTGGTGGTGTTAGTGGTGTAAGTGGTGTTACTGGTGTTTCTGGTGTTACTGGTGTTTCTGGTGTTAGTGGTGTTACTGGTGTAAGTGGTGTTTCTGGTGTAAGTGGTGTTAGTCGTGTTACCGGTGTTTCTGGTTTTAGTGGTGTTACTGGTGTAAGTGGTGTTTCTGGTGTTAGTGGTCTTACTGGTGTAAGTGGTGTTTCTGGTGTAAGTGGTGTTAGTCGTGTTACCGGTGTTTCTGGTTTTAGTGGTGTTTCTGGTGTTGGTGGTGTTTCTGGTGTTACTGGTAGTGGTGTTAGTGGTGTAAGTGGTGTTAGTGGTATTATTGGTGTTAGTGGTCTTACTGGTGTAAGTGGTGTTTCTGGTGTAAGTGACGTTAGAGGTGTTTCTGGTGTTAGTGGTGTTATTGATGTAAGTGGTGTTAGTGGTGTTTCTGGTGTTACTGGTAGTGGTGTTGGTGGTGTTAGTGGTGTAAGTGGTGTTACTGGTGTTACTGGTGTTTCTGGTGTTAGTGGTGTTACTGGTGTAAGTGGTGTTTCTGGTGTAAGTGGTGTTAGTCGTGTTACCGGTGTTTCTGGTTTTAGGGGTTTTACTGGTGTAAGTGGTGTTTCTGGTGTTAGTGGTCTTACTGGTGTACGTGGTGTTTCTGGTGTAAGTGGTGTTAGTGGTGTTACCGGTGTTTCTGGTTTTAGTGGTGTTTCTGGTGTTGGTGGTGTTACTGGTAGTGGTGTTAGTGGTGTAAGTGGTGTTACTGGTGTTTCTGGTGTTAGTGGTGTTACTGGTGTAAGTGTTGTTACTGGTGTTCCTGATGTAAGTGGTGTTGGTGGTGTTAGAGGTGTTACTGGTGTAAGTAGTGTTTCTGGTGTTAGTGGCGTTTCTGGCATTAGTGGTGTTACTGGTGTAAGTGGTGTTAGTCGTGTTACTGGTGTTTCTGGTTTTAGTGGCGTTACTGGTGTAAGTGGTGTTTCTGGTGTAAGTGGTGTTTCTGGTGTTAGTGGTATTATTGATGTAAGTGGCGTTAGTGGTGTTTCTGGTGTTAGTGGTATTATTGATGTAAGTGGTGTTAGTGGTGTTACTGGAGTAAGTCGTGTTTCTGGTGTTAGTGGTGTTAGTGGTGTTACTGCTGTAAGTGGTGTTACTGGTGTTGGTGGTGTTAGTGGTGTAAGTGGTGTTACTGCTGTGTCTGGTGTTACTGGTGTTACTGCTGTTAATGGTGTTACTGGTGTTACTGTTGTAAGTGGTGTTAGTGGTGTTACTGCTCTAAGTTGTGTTACCGGTGTTACTGCTGTAAGTGGTGTTACTGGTGTTACTGGTGTTACTGTTGTAAGTGGTGTTAGTGGTGTTACTGGTGTTACTACTGTAAGTGGTGTTAGTGGTGTTACTGCTGTAAGTGGTGTAAGTGGTGTTACTGGTGTTGGTGGTGTTAGTGGTGTTACTGCTGTTTCTGGTGTTAGTGGTGTTACTGGTGTAAGTGGTGTTAGTGGTATTATTGGTGTTAGTGGTCTTAATGGTGTAAGTGGTGTTACTGGTATAAGTGGCATTAGAGGTGTTTCTGGTGTTAGTGGTGTTATTGATGTAAGCGGTGTTTCTGGTGTTAGTGGTAGTGGTGTTAGTGGTGTTAGTGGTGTAAGTGGTGTTACTGGTGTTTCTGGTGTTAGTGGTGTTACTGGTGTAAGTGGTGTTTCTGGTGTTAGTGGTGTAAGTGGTGTTACTGGTGTTTCTGGTGTTAGTGGTGTTTCTGGTGTAAGTGGTGTTTCTGGTGTTAGTGGTGTTAGTCGTGTTACCGGTGTTTCTGGTTTTAGTGGTGTTAGTGGTGTAAGTGGTGTTAGTGGTGTTAGTGGTGTAAGTGGTGTTACTGGTGTTAGTGGTGTTACTGGTGTAAGTGTTGTTACTGGTGTTCCTGATGTAAGTGGTGTTAGTGGTGTTAGTGGTGTTAGAGGTGTTACTGGTGTAAGTAGTGTTTCTGGTGTTAGTGGCATTTCTGGCATTAGTGGTGTTAGTGGTGTAAGTGGTGTTACTGGTGTTTCTGGTGTAAGTGGTGTTAGTCGTGTTACTGGTGTTTCTGGTTTTAGTGGTGTTACTGGTGTAAGTGGTGTTTCTGGTGTAAGTGGTGTTACTGGTGTCAGTGACGTTAGAGGTGTTTCTGGTGTTAGTGGTGTTATTGATGTAAGTGGTGTTAGTCGTGTTACTGGTGTAAGTGGCGTTAGAGGTGTTTCTGGTGTTAGTGGTCTTACTGGTGTTAGTGGTGTTTCTGGTGTTACTGGTAGTGGTGTTACTGGTGTTGGTGGTGTTAGTGGTGTAAGTAGTGTTTCTGGTGTTAGTGGCGTTTCTGGCATTAGTGGTGTTAGTGGTCTTACTGGTGTAAGTGGTGTAAGTGTTGTTGGTGGTGTTAATGGTGTTAGTGGTGTTAGTGGTGTTTCTGGTGTTACTGGTAGTGGTGTTACTGGTGTTACTGGTGTTGGTGGTGTTTCTGGTGTTACTGGTAGTGGTGTTACTGGTGTTACTGGTGTTGGTGGTGTTAGTGGTGTAAGTGGTGTTACTGGTGTTTCTGGTGTTAGTGGTCTTACTGGTATAAGTGGTGTTTCTGGTGTAAGTTGTGTTACTGGTGTAAGTGGCATTAGAGGTGTTTCTGGTGTTAGTGGTGTTGGTGGTGTAAGTGGTGTTTCTGGTGTTAGTGGTCTTACTGGTGTAAGTGGTGTTTCTGGTGTAAGTGGTGTTACTGGTGTAAGTGGCGTTAGAGGTGTTTCTGGTGTTAGTGGTGTTATTGATGTAAGTGGTGTTAGTGGTGTTTCTGGTGTTGGTGCTGTTAGTGGTGTAAGTGGTGTTAGTGGTGTTTCTGGTGTTGGTGGTGTTAGTGGTGTAAGTGGTGTTACTGGTGTTTCTGGTGTTAGTGGTCTTACTGGTGTAAGTGGTGTTTCTGGTGTTACTGGTGTTGGTGGTGTTAGTGGTGTAAGTGGTGTTACTGGTGTAAGTGGCGTTAGAGGTGTTACTGGCGTAAGTGGTGTTACTGGTGTTAGTGGTGTTACTGGTGTAAGTGGCGTTAGAGGTGTTTCTGGTGTAAGTGGTGTTACTGGTGTTAGTGGTGTTTCTGGTGTAAGTGACGTTAGAGGTGTTTCTGGTGTTAGTGGTGTTATTGATGTAAGTGGTGTTAGTGGTGTTTCTGGTGTTACTGGTAGTGGTGTTGGTGGTGTTAGTGGCATTTCTGGCATTAGTGGTGTTAGTGGTCTTACTGGTGTAAGTGGTGTTTCTGGTGTAAGTGGTGTTACTGGTGTTAGTGGTGTAAGTGTTGTTGGTGGTGTTAATGGTGTTGGTGCTGTTACTGGTGTTTTTGGTGTTAGTGGTGTAAGTGGTGTAGGTGGTGTTGGTGGTCTTAGTTGTTTTGCTGGTGTTACTGTTGTTGCTGGTGTTACTGGTGTTACTGGTATGAAGTCTCTCTCTCTCTGTGTTGTTGGAGAAACTTTCTGCCTGAAAACTCAGAGACCAAAACAGTCAAAGCTTAAGGCCAAAAAAACAGTAGAACGTTTCCTGTTAACACAAAATCACTTCCACATGTTTCTGTTCGTCCATGTTTGGTCACACAACTCCCCCCCCCTCCCCCTCGCTCTCTCTCTCCCTCTCTCTGTCCCTCTCACTCTCCCCCCACCTCCCTCCCCCCCTCTCTCTCACCCTCCCTCTCCCCCTCCCTCTCTCCCTCCCTCTCACCCTCCCTCTCCCCCTCCCTCTCTCCCTCCCTCTCTCCCTCCCTCTCACCCTCCCTCGCTCTCTCAGCTGAACTCTGCAACTTCATCGTTGAGTCTGAGTTTGTGTTTCAGTCAGTTGAGTCGGTTTATTGTTAAAAACAGAAATAATAAAAACTTTAAACTTCTTCCACCCTGAAATCAAGTTTCATCCAAATACATCTGAACTTTGTTTTCTTGTGAACTTCCTGTCTGTGTCTCTGAGGTCACAGGTGTAACTTCCTGTCTGTTTCTCTGAGGTTACAGGTGTAACTTCCTGTCTGTGTCGCTGCAGTCACAGGTGTAACTTCCTGTCTGTGTCGCTGCAGTCACAGGTGTAACTTCCTGTCTGTGTCGCTGCAGTCACAGGTGTAACTTCCTGTCTGTGTCTCTGAGGTCACAGGTGTAACTTCCTGTCTGTGTCTCTGAGGTTACAGGTGTAACTTCCTGTCTGTGTCTCTGAGGTTACAGGTGTAACTTCCTGTCTGTGTCTCTGAGGTTACAGGTGTAACTTCCTGTCTGTGTCTCTGAGGTTACAGGTGTAACTTCCTGTCTGTGTCTCTGAGGTTACAGGTGTAACTTCCTGTCTGTGTCTCTGAGGTTACAGGTGTAACTTCCTGTCTGTGTCTCTGAGGTTACAGGTGTAACTTCCTGTCTGTGTCTCTGAGGTTACAGTCCCAGGTGTAACTTCCTGTCTGTGTCTCTGAGGTTACAGGTGTAACTTCTTGTCTGTGTCTCTGAGGTTACAGGTGTAACTTCCTGTCTGTGTCTCTGAGGTCACAGGTGTAACTTCCTGTCTGTGTCTCTGAGGTTACAGGTGTAACTTCCTGTCTGTTTCTCTGAGGTTACAGTCCCAGGTGTAACTTCCTGTCTGTGTCTCTGAGGTTACAGGTGTAACTTCCTGTCTGTGTCTCTGAGGTTACAGTCCCAGGTGTAACTTCCTGTCTGTGTCTCTGAGGTCACAGGTGTAACTTCCTGTCTGTTTCCCTGAGGTTACAGTCCCAGGTGTAACTTCCTGTCTGTGTCTCTGAGGTTACAGGTGTAACTTCCTGTCTGTGTCTCTGCAGTCACAGGTGTAACTTCCTGTCTGTGTCTCTGAGGTTACAGGTGTAACTTCCTGTCTGTGTCTCTGAGGTTACAGGTGTAACTTCCTGTCTGTGTCTCTGAGGTTACAGGTGTAACTTCTTGTCTGTGTCTCTGAGGTTACAGGTGTAACTTCCTGTCTGTGTCTCTGAGGTTACAGGTGTAACTTCTTGTCTGTGTCTCTGAGGTTACAGTCCCAGGTGTAACTTCCTGTCTGTGTCTCTGAGGTTACAGGTGTAACTTCCTGTCTGTGTCTCTGAGGTTACAGGTGTAACTTCCTGTCTGTCTCTATGGTTACAGGTGTGAGTGGGTGGAGCCTGTTGCTGTGTCTCAGCAGTTCAGAGAGAAGCTGTCTGCGGAGAATCTCCTTCTCTCACCTGCAGCGTCATCAGATGGTGAGATTCACCTTCACAACTGTTCTGGCCAATCAGAGACTGACTGAGAGTCACATGGTCACCTGTCTGTCTGTGTGCTCAGGTGAACATGTTGCCAGGGGTGATGGAGGCGTTCTCTGATGCAGGTGGAGGTCTCTGTCACTTCTACGCTCGGTCACACCTGACAGGTGAGTCGCAGGTCGCAGTTTAACACGTCACCTGACAGGTGAGCAGGAAACAGATCACATCTCGTGTAAATATAAAATAAATAAAATTTATTTTGAAGCCGACAGCTGAGGTGTCACCAACAGGCTCACGTACCTGTTTTTGTTTCACCGCCTTAGGATCTGAATTACCCATGAGGCCATACTCCTGTGGATCGACCAATCAGAAGCTGCAGGTTCCTCAGGACTCTGCGGGAGCTGACAGGTGAGCTGATCCGATTTCAGAATCCTTCTTTTCTTTACTTTTGAACACCTGAGAGCAGGTCAGTCTCAAAACGTTTGCAACGTTCCCTTTTCTGTGTTCTTCTGTCTGGTGGGCGTGTCTCAGGTGTTACCCAATCAGCTGCGACAAGTTTGTAAACACAATGGCGTCAAAAAGGCTGGACAATGCACTGTTCACAACAGGGTGTTCGAGGCCCTGATCACCTGAAGATAAGAACCTGTTCGTGTTTCACCTTCTCTCTCACAGCCATTCACCTGTCGGAGCCCCGCCTCCTGCTCTGGTTGCCATGGTGAATGTTTACATCCTGGTGACCTCAGTAAAGCCGCTGACTTCCTTCCTGCATGACATCACTGTGGTGACGACCAATCAGGAGCAGAGGGGGCGGCCCACAAAGGTAAATCACCTGTCACGCTGCTGAACGTTACACACCATCTGGGATCCAGTAAAACCAGAGAACAAAGCTGTGTTTGAGTCCAGTAATCAGTGAGGCCTCGTCTTCCACGGTGCAGCTAGGCCCCGCCCCTCTGCTGTGTGCGGGGAAGTTGGCCAATCAGAAGCAAGTGTGCCTTCAAGGAGGTGGGGCTTAAAGAGACAGGAGCTAAAACTGAGCGATCAGACCAAGCGGGAAGCTTCTGGTCTGACACGCGAAGCCAACAATATTATGTAGTGTTGTGTCCTTCAAAGAATGTTTCGTTCATTTGACCTAATCTTGTATGTGACTCAGGAGGAACGGGTTGTCTCAGTGAGTAATTCGTTCATTAGATCATTATTTTTATTATTATTGAGAACATTTCGTTTTAAGACAAAGTTATCAGCTGTTAAAATGAGTTGACATGAGTTACAGATGCACCTAGCTAAGCTAGCTAGCTAGCGCCACACACGGCCGTTGGCTCCGCTGTCTCGTCAAAATATGGTCACATCCGGTGCCGCTGGTTGCAAAAACTCAACATGGCAGCACGCTATCGGCCAAACTGGAGGCTTCAAAACGGCGGTCCACAAACCAACGGTTGACGTCACCATGACTACGCCCACTTCTCATATACAGTCTGTGGAATTGTTGGGGCCTGGTGAGTTTCACACGACCTCACAGCTGATCTATTAAACGCTTCTGGAAACATAAAGTTGTCCATGAGGGAAGGAGCCGATCAGTCTGGATGGATCAATACATAACATCTGAATATGGCTTGTTGATGTTGACCTGTTAGAGCCGCCTGTCATGGGGCTACCCCATGCCTTGGTCTTAGCATGCTAAGCTAACCTTAGCATTAACCTGAGCATTAGCATAGGACTTTTAGCATTAGCATTACCTTAGCATACGGGCTAGCATCAATGGACACATGGCTTGTCATTTCATGTCATTTAATTTCAGTTCATTTAAGTACTAGTCGAAAGAGTTGAAATCATGATTAATCATGAACACATACACAGTTCATTTCAAGGCATTTATTTTAGCTTATTGGATTTACCCAAGGTCATCCAAATGTTTGTATGTTTCATTCACCTGTTCTCATCCTCAAGCAGGGATCTGGGTCGAAATGGCAAACAGGAAGTGATGGAGTGTGGAGTAACTTATAGGGGGGCAGACCTGGAATGGTGAAAAGCGTGAAAAGTGTGAGCCAGTAGAGAGGGGTGTACTGGTGTACCTTAAGTTGCTGTTTTGAGAAGCTTTGTTCAGCATGTAACATTTAATTTCCGGTTTTATAGTTGATATATGGTGTATTGATGTAGCCAGAAATGTTTTAAACTGTTGAGGTAACATAATGGTGTTTCATTGATTTCCACTTAACTTTGGTTTGTCTTGTAGGAGGGGCTTCTGGTATAAAGGAAGGAGGCAGAGGTAGTGATGGGCAAAGCAAAACGCACAGAAGCCTTGCTTCACTGTGATCACGTGACATTGACATTTTGAACCACGCTTTGAAGCAGTGTTTCGAAACGTCTGTGCTTCGGGATCTCGACATAGCGTCGACGCGTCAGTATCGAGCATCCCATCCCTAGGCAGAGGCTCCTCTCGGGAGAACAGCTTTGGCCTGGAAGGGCACGTGTGCTAGAGCCCAGTAGTCAGGGCCTGAAATAGGGTTTCATTTGTGTTGTATCAGTTTGTAATGATAATTGGTATAGTTTATACTTAGTTTCCTGGTTGTTTGTTTTTGTTAATTTTTGATATATTTTTGCAATATTTCACTTGCACAACTACACTTTCCACGTACCTGGTGAAAAAATCAATTGAAGCACCAGGTGAAGCACTCCTGAGTCCATGTCTCCTCCTTCCACCATGGGGCTAAACATTACACCGCCCTTTATCATCAGGCAGAGAGGCTCAGACGGCAGCTGGCAGGCTTAAACAAGTTCCACAAGATATCCAGATTCTTGATTTCTTTTCCAGCTGACTCATCAGCTGTACATGGCCGCCATCTTGTGGCAGCACACGGTGACACGAGGTGTGTGTGTTACAGACCGGACTGAAGGAACATCTCGGGTTACGTATGTAACCCTTGTTCCCCAAGAAGGCAAACGAGACACTGCATCGGTGACGACACAATGGAAAGCCTCTGGGCGTGACAGGGCTGAAATCATGAATGAAACTACTCCAATCCTATTGGCGTTGCTAGAACGGTAGCGTGTGACGGCGTAACTGGAGGCGTATATAAGCACGCCGGCACACCGGACACATTAGCTCTTCGCTATGAAGCAAGGCACTCCAGGCGGGGTGAGGTGTGGCGGACCGACGCAGTGTCTTGTTCCCCTTCTCGGGGAACAAGGGTTACATACGTAACCCGAGACGTTCACTTTCGAGGGAACTCGAACTGCGTCGGTGACGACACTATGGGAACGAGAATACCCACTATGCCACGCCAAAGCCACTGCCTGCCCCCAGCGTGCAGAACCTGATGGCTCGACTAAGAGGAGAGCGCACGGGTACCGGGTGCAGAAGGAAGGTCCAGAAGGAAGGTCCAGACTGTAAAACCGGATGAAAGTGTGAGCCAACCTGGATGGAACCTTAGGGACATAGCCCGGACAGGGGTGCAGGATGGCTCTGACCCTCCCCGGGGCAAACTCCAGGCATTGAAGAGAAACCGAAGGTGCCTGGAGATCCCCCACCCTCCTCAGAGAGGTGATAGCGAGGAGAAAGGCCATCTTAAGAGTTAGGTGCTTGGCCTCAGCCAACTCCAGGGGTTTGAAGGGGGCCTCAGCCAGCGCTTCGAGAACCACTGCCAGGTCCCAAGTGGGAACCCGGGAACGAGTCACGGGTCTCATTCTCCGGGCTCCACGGAGGAAGCGCACGACCAGTGGAAGGGGGCGTGGAACGCTGCCATGGCAGCCACATACACCTTGAGTGTGGGGGAAAGACCAGCAGAGAAACGGTCCTGGAGGAACTCCAGTACCATAGTCACCGGGCAGGTAACTGGGTCCACCGCCCGTTCTGTACACCAGGTGGCAAACACATTCCACTTCAGGCCGTACGCCCTTCTCGTGGACGGGGCTCTGGAGCTGAGCAGCGTCTCGACTGTTAGGCCCGCCTCAAGGAACTGGGCCCTCCTCAGAGGGACCTGCCATGGCGGGCCCTTGTGGAGCGATATTATGTCCGAGAACCACACTCGGGCCGGCCAAAACAGGGCTACTAGCAGTAGGCTGACACCATCCTGACTGACCCGCTGTGAGAGGGACGGATGGAGACGTGGAACTATGCTTCTCGCAGATCTAACGTGACAAACAAATCCTCTGATTGAATGTGGCTGACGATGCCGAGGATGGTGAGCATCTTGAACCTGAATCTCCTCAGAGATTGGTTCAGGGACCGCAGATCTAAAATCGGACGCAATCCTCCGTCCTTTTTGGGAACTATGAAGTACCGGCTGTAGAACCCGGACTCCCTGACTGGCGGGGAAATGAGTTCTATGGCCCCTTTCTCCAGCAGAGAGCGAACTTCTTGTCCCAACACCTGGCTCTGCTCCGAGTGCACCGCAGTCCAGACCACCCCGTTGAATCTGGGGGGGTGGACCCGGAACTGCAGCCTGTAGCCATCCACTACGGTGCGCAGGACCCACGGGGAAATGTTCACAAGGCTCCGCCATGCTCCTGCGAATTCCGGGGCTGGTGGCCAGTGTTATGCATAGGTCCCCGGCAGCACCCTGAAGAGCAGGTCCGCCAGGGAAAAACCGCCGATAATCCGCGGTGTGTGAGCCAGAGCGCCTCCTGACTGTGGCCCCTCGGGGCAGGCAGAATGGCGTTGACTGAAAAATCGTCCTCAGATACGTTGTCTTGGGGGGCTGTGGGCGAGAGCGCCGCATCGTGTCCCAGGTGCGCTGAGGGGGACCCCAAGAAGCGACACTCTGCCTCTGGCTCTGGCGGTAGGAGCTGGACGACGGCTGGGACCGTCTCTCTGCAGCCGTCGCCATCCTGGACCCAGACCGGCGCGGGAGATACTGCTGGAACGCCTCCCTTTGCGTCCTGGCATGCTGAAACCTGCTGACGACAGCGTCCACCGCCTCGCCAAACAGGCCAGAGGTTGCGACCGGTGCATCGAGCAGGAAGGTTTTCTCCCTCTCCTGGATGCCCGACAGATTGAGCCACAGGTGCCACTTCGTGGCCACCAGTGCCGACATGGAGCGGCCAATGGCACGGGCCGTCTCCTTTGTGACTCGACGAGGACGAGTGACAAATCCTTAGCTCCGCGCCATGTCCTTCTGCAGGTCAGCCTGGTATGCCTGTAAAACCGCCATCGTGTGCAGCAGGAAGCGCAGGAAGCGCTCATCCAGCTTACTTGCAGCCTGTGTGTCTGGCCAATCGAGCTGGAGCTTGCCCACTGCCCGTGTCACCACCTCCAAGAGCTCGTCATAGCTGGTTGATGACTGATGACATTGATCCGGCTCCCGGAAGTCTTCTCCATAATGCTGAGCACATCCAGCTCCTCAGAACCGAACAGCCGCAGCCTCTCCGGGCTCACACCTCAAGCGGGAGAAGCCAAAAAGCGGGCTCCCGAACAGGGAAGAGGGGAGTCGGAGCCAGCAGACGAGGAACGGGAAAAAGCCTCTGCAGTCCCGATGCCCTCGGAGATGTCGCGCCGGGAGCCCCATGACTGAAGCCGCCGTGGAAAAGAGAGCCGCACGGGACCTCAGCACCCTCAGGGGCAGGGCCTCGCAATGGCCGCAAGCAGCCCCGTCAAGAGCTGCCTGGACATGCGGCATCCCCAGACAGGAAGCACACTGCCTGAACTGCTGACCAGCCATCTCCTCTGCTTCTCCTTCCAGGTATCTAGATCCTCTCGTGGTTGCTTTCTTCTGAGTAGTCTTGAACATGCCAGAGTGCTGAATATAAAAAAGCTGATGTGTCCGGTGTGCCGGCGTGCTTATATACGCCTCCAGTTACGCCGTCACACGCTACCGTTCTAGCAACGCCAATAGGATTGGAGTAGTTTCATTCATGATTTCAGCCCTGCCACGCCCAGAGGCGTTCCCATAGTGTCGTCACCGACGCAGTTCGAGTTCCCTCGAAGGGGAACTGAGACTTTGAAAGATCCTGACAAATGTTTTGTCCAATGAAACTCGGCAGGACCTTAAAGAAATGAGCCTTTCCTCCAAAAGCAGAAGAGCTTCACTTCAAAATGTTTAATATTTAATTTATCCTCAGAGACGAAGGTTCAACTCAGCTGATTTTCTGTGATGAAGAACATTTATTTTTCTTTCTGGTGACGTAACAGAGGAGAAGAAAAGTGAATTTATTTTAGGAAAATGCTTTTTAACGCAGAATCATCTCAGTGTTACAGATCGCTGCAGAAAACTGCAAGAAAAGCTGAGAGATGTTTCTGTTTTTCATTAAGGTTTGATATTATTTACATATTTAACTGCCAGAAATCTGATGTTGAAAAAAAACTAAAGAAGGTTTCTGTCGTCTTCTTCTCTGGTCCTCCTACACTTGTTTCCTGCGCTGACGGCGCCCTCTGCTGCTTTAACCCTTCGTCTCCTCTCAGCTCAGACGCTTCCTGCTGCAACAGCTGGGACCGGTGGCGTCCCATGAGGCTTTGGGGCGGGTGAAGAAGGTGATAGGGGAAGTGTTGCAGGCTGCAGTGTTGACCAATGAGAAGCAACAATCTGTCCACAGGTAAAGTAAAGAACACTTGGCTGTCCAATCACAGGACGGGACGCAGCTTCCTGTGTGAAGCTGCTCTGCAGGTGGAGGTCAGATTGCTCCTCATTAGTGATCGACCAATGATTGATGTGCGTTTCAGGTGCGTGCTGTGTTACCAGCTGCTGACCTTCACTCTGCTCTTCAGCGGCTCCATCACACCGGTGGTCGTCCAGGTAAGAGGCCGCCCTTTCCAGATGTCAGTGAAGCAGCCAATCAAAAACCTGATTATGTCCGTTAATACACAATAAAAGTTTGATCATTTATGAAGCGGTTTAATATCAAAATAAAATTGAATGTGAGAGGAACAGATGATGATGGCTCTCACAGATTTGATTTCACTTCATATCACACGTTATCACTTTATCAGTTAAACATTCAAACCAGCATTGGTATTTGTGCTCGCACTACTGAGCCATAACTGTTCCATACTGCACCTCTCAACTGTGAAAGAAATCTTAAATCAACGTCCGCTAAATATTTCATCAGCCCCTTGGAGCGCAGAGCAGGAAGTCTGGCCACTCATGGTCAGCTGTGGACCTGCAGCCTGAAGCAGGATGCTGTCAGATGCACATAGAGCGACAGATCTGCGTTTGCACATCTTCACCACCTGCACAAATGGACTGTGTAAATTAAAAATGTCTGGAAATAAAGCAGGACAGCTGTCACACAATCGCATCCTCATCATGATGCAGCCAAACCTGAAAATGTGATCTCCCAGGGTGACGAGACCACAATCCATCACTCTGGCGGGGAGTGAAGCCTCACTCTGTGTGACTGCTGTAAACATGTACAAACTGTGAGACACAAACTGTGCGTAATGCTGCATTTGACAGACCAACCTTCCTCACTTCCTCCTTTACTTCCTATTTTACTTCCTCTTTCTCTTCATCACTTCCTCCTTTTTTTCATCACTTCCTATTTTCCTTCCTTGCTTCCTCTTTACTTCCTAACTTCCTCCTTTCTCTTCCTCTCTTCCTATTGTCCATCCTCCTCCTTCCTCACCTCCACTTTCTCTTCCTCACCTCCTATTTTCCTTTCTCACTTCCTCCTTTTCTTCCTTCGTTCCTCTTTTCCTTCCTCACTTCATCCTTTCCTTCCTCACCTCCTCCTTTCCTTCCCCACCTCTTCCCTTCCTTCCTCACCTCTTCCCTTCCTTCCTCACCTCCCCCTTTCCTTCCTCACCTCTTCCCTTCCTTCCCCACCTCCTCCTTTCCTTCCCCACCTCTTTCCTTCCTTCCTCACCTCCACCTTTCCTTCCCTTCCCCACCTCCTCTTTCCTTCCTCCCCTCCTCCTTTCCGTTTTTACAAACTGTCCTCCTCCTTTCCTTCCTCACCTCCTCCTCTTTCCTTCCCCACCTCTTTCCTTCCCTCCTCACCTCTTCCCTTCCTTCCTCACCTCCCCCTTTCCTTCCTCACCTCCCCCTTTCCTTCCCCACCTCCTACTTTCCTTCCTCACCTCCTCCTCTTTCCTTCCTCACCTCTTCCTCTTCCTCTTCCTCTTTCCTTCCTCACCTCCTCCTCTTTCCTCCCTCACCTCCTCCTCTTTCCTTCCTCACCTCCTCCTCTTTCCTTCCTCACCTCTTCCATTCCTTCCCCACCTCCTCTTTCCTTCCTCCCCTCCTCCTTTCCGTTTTTACCAACTGTCCTCAGATCTGTTTCAGGTGAGCTGACAGTAAATGTCCACCAGAGGGAAGCGTGTCCTCAGCAGCTCAGTCATTGGTCATCCTCACCTCCTCCTTTCCTTCCTCACCTCCTCCTTTCCTTCCCCACCTCCTCCTTTTTCTATCCTCACCTCCTCCTTCCCTCCCTCCCCTCTACCTTTCCTTTTTTACAAACTATTCTCAGATCAGTTTCAGATGACGGTAAACGTCCACCAGAGGGCATGTTGTCCTCAGCAGCTCTGTGATTGGTCCGTTTTTGTTGTCTTCAGGTGGACGTTGACCTGACGTTTTCCTCTCTGAGCGACGACACGTTTGATGGACAGATCACCAGAGACCTGATGCTGAAGGACACACTCCACTTCCTGCTGCCGACAGACACACACCTGTCCTCAGAGACACACCTGTCCTCGGAGAAACTCACACAGACATTGGGGGGACAGGTGAGTTTACAGGGAACATGAATAACGTTCAGTTTTATTAATGTGAATGCCTTTTAAGGTCAGTGTCAGTGATCGATCAGTAACTCTGTCTGCAGGACGGTGGCTGCAGAGGGACAAACACTGTATGTGTGTCAGAAGACGAGTTTTTTCTTCTGCTGCAGTTTCAGCGGCAGATGAAGACGCCTTCAGCGTTTCAGTTGGTAACAAAGTACACACTGTGACCTCATTATATACACAGTATACATACCATGAAGTACACCCTGTGACCTCATTATATACAAAAAGTACAAATACCATGAAGTACACACTGTGACGTCATTATAAAGTACACACTGTGGCCTTATAATAAAGTACAACCTGTGACCCCATTATAAAGTACACCCTGTGACCTCATTATAAAGTACACACTGTGGCCTTATAATAAAGTACACCCTGTGACCTCATTATAAAGTACACCCTGTGACCTCATTATAAAGTACACCCTGTGACCTCATTATAAAGTACACACTGTGACCTTATAATGAACTACACACTGTTCCCTCATCATGAAGTACACCCTGTGACCTCATTATGAAGTACACCCTGTGACCTCATTATGAAGTACACCCTGTGACCTCATTATGAAGTACACCCTGTGACCTCATTATGAAGTACACACTGTGACCTCACACTGTGACCTTAAAATGAACTACACACTGTGACCCCATTATAAAGTACACACTGTTCCCTCATTATGAAGTACACCCTGTGACCTCATTATGAAGTACACCCTGTGACCTCATTATGAAGTACACACTGTGACCTCATTTTAAAGTACACACTGTGACCTCACACTGTGACCTTATAATGAACTACACCCTGTGACCTCATTATAAAGTACACACTGTGACCTCATTATAAAGTGCACACTTTGACCTTATAATGAAGTACACACTGTGCCCTCATTATAAAGTACACCCTGTCACCTCATTATAAAGTACACACTGTGACCTTATGATGAACTACACCCTGTGACCCCATTATAAAGTACACATTGTGACCTCATTATAAAGTACACCCTGTGACCTCATTATAAAGTACACACTGTGACCTCATTATAAAGTGCACACTTTGACCTTATAATGAAGTACACACTGTGCCCTCATTATAAAGTACACCCTGTCACCTCATTATAAAGTACACACTGTGACCTTATGATGAACTACACCCAGTGACCCCATTATAAAGTACACATTGTGACCTCATTATAAACAGTACACCCTGTGACCTCATAAGTACACCCTGTGACCTCATTATAAAGTACACACTTTGACCTTATAATGAAGTACACCCTGTGACCTCATAAGTACACCCTGTGACCTCATTATAAAGTGCACACTTTGACCTTATAATGAAGTACACCCTGTGACCTCATAAGTACACCCTGTGACCTCATTATAAAGTACACACTATGACCTCATTATAAAGTACACACTGTGACCTCATTATAAAGTACACCCTGTGACCTCATAAGTACACACTGTGCCCTCATTATAAAGTACACACTATGACCTCAGTATAAAGTACACCCTGTGACCTCATAAGTACACACTGTGACCTCATTATAAAGTACACACTGTGACCTCATTATAAAGTACACCCTGTGACCTCATAAGTACACACTGTGCCCTCATTATAAAGTACACACTATGACCTCAGTATAAAGTACACCCTGACACCTCATTTTAAAGTACACCCTGTGACCTCATAAGTACACACTGTGCCCTCATTATAAAGTACACACTATGACCTCAGTATAAAGTACACCCTGACACCTCATTTTAAAGTACACACTGTGACCTTATAATGAAGTACACACTGTGACCTCACACTGTGACCTCATTATAAAGTACACCCTGTGACCTCATTATGAAGTACACCCTGTGACCTCATTATGAAGTACACACTGTGACCTCATTTTAAAGTACACACTGTGACCTCACACTGTGACCTTATAATGAAGTACACACTGTGACCTCACACTGTGACCTCATTATGAAGTACACACTGTGACCTCACACTGTGACCTCATTATAAAGTACACACTGTGACCTCATTATAAAGTGCACACTGACCTTATAATGAAGTACACACTGTGCCCTCATTATAAAGTACACCCTGTCACCTCATTATAAAGTACACACTGTGACCTTATGATGAACTACACCCTGTGACCTCATTATAAAGTACACCCTGTGACCTCATTATAAAGTACACACTGTGACC